GGTCCAAGAAATGTTCTTTCGAATGAAATAAACATTCTCCAACATATTTGAAGTTGTTGTGTTTTTTTTTAAAAGTAACCTCGAAATGGCTCTCCCTTTATATAATACAAATTAATGCAGCTATGTTAGACTTCAAACTCCAACCAACAACAATAAATGTTGGACTCATCGAACTACTCTCGTATTTAAATTTGCGTASGTATGTAAGTGAGATGGAAATAATGTCGCTCAACCGAATTCATTCATATCTTCATTTGGCTTTGCAAATGATATATAACGAGCCGAGCTTTGCCGTTGGAGTTGTTAAGACGACACAACAATGCATACATATATTTATTTAAAATATGTTTATAAATTTCGCACGATGAAACCTGTTTCGATGACAAGTTACATAAATATAGTATATGTGTATGCATATATTAAAAATTKTACAAGGTGCGTCAATAAATAAGACACCCTATACTAAAATGTTGTTAATTGTTTGTTTAGTAAGCGAGTGACAATCGAATGCTCAACTTGGATAACATTTTTCTGGAGGTATTTAGCAATAATGGCAACCTATCAGCTGGCCATCACTTGCTCCATTATGCTTGTGTTTTTTGGGAGCTTTTTGTTGCGGTTGCTGGGAAATTTCCTTGAGTTTGAGCTGATCCTGGTATGTTCATAGATCAATTTCAATATTACCAACGAATGGAGCGGTTTAGAAATTTTCCCTTTATCTAATATTTTTTTAAGAAAATGTAAAAACTATTAAAGAAGTTATTGATAGGTAACAAAAAATTTTCTTTTGTTATTTTATTAAATTCTATTTACCCCTAAAATATTGTCCTAAATTTTCAAGTTGATCCGAGTAATCGTTTCGGAGATACAGTGAGCCGCCTTTAACGCGTTCTTCTCGAAACCGTGTTTTGAAGTCGCTTGGAAAGATTTCTCAAGAGGTACTTAACCGAACTTGATGAAATTTGACACAGATCTTTCAGATGCAATTCTTAAGGATTTGGACGAAGGATACTTTTTTCCGATTATAACTGTTAGAAAAAAATGCGATTATTAAAAAATGACGGAATCGTAATTAACATTAGAAWTGCTGGTAAAGTACACATTTTCAAGGTTCTAAAAAGAACAAAATTTTTTTTACCGAAAAAAATTATTATAAAGTTGAAACWGTAACATCTTTTAGAAAACATCACCATAACTTAATAAAAGGAATTGAGCCAAAAGAAGAAGAAATTAGCTCCAGAAAATAAAAATTTGGTCACACTAGTTTTCTGATTAATGCAAATACAATTATTATTTAACAAAAAATATATCAAGCACCACCACCATTATTTACAACATATTATATGCGTAGTCCCTGCTAACCAACTCGATATTGTCTAAATCACCGAACGTAGCGTGCATGATTTGYACAGTATATTTACTGGCATATTTACATACTTACATTCATATATGCATTTGATCACATGATGGTCCGAGTTGCATAATTTGAAAGTCACATGATGACTGATAAGCCGCCAGGCGCGTGATTCCTGATTAAACAACCAACAAAACAGATAAAGAAAATAAAAAATAAAAAGAAAAATCGGAAACAACTATGGTCGAGAAAACAAAAACACACATATGTATCTATTCATTATTTTTAGTCCAATGGCTTTGAACAAGTTTAGACGCCAGCGTTTTTCAAATAGCAAATGTCGCAGCCTAGCTTTCAGTTGATCTTCATTAGCRTTGTGCCCAAATCGGGTAGTGGCCGTTCATGAGTGCTGACCACCCGTCAMCCAACCACGGAACAGGCAAAACGCGTGGCGCTAACGGCAGCAGCCAAAATCATTAACACCGGTTGTGACAACGCAACCGCCTCTGGCAATTACATACGAGTACACACCGTTGTAATTACAAGTTGGTTGTCATTTCGCATGCGCMACGTGAACTCTGCAGCATTGATCGAGTGGCTTTTCGATGAATTTGCTTTTACAAGAAGGCACAATCGAAACAGCGCTCTGAGCTTTACGCTCCGAAAAACTAACAATGTCTTGCGGTATGTAACGGCACTTTGACAAAACAACTAATTTACATTTTTTCACTTTGCAGCGCTGGCGAAATTTGACAGTTAACCCAGAGATTGTTGAATTTCGGGTAGTAACGCTAATTTCGAAGAAGTGATGCGAACTCGTTAAAATCGACACTTYTATGTCAAGGCGTTAAATGTAAACAAGTAATTATTAGCGAATGTCGAGAAAATGCAAACAGATATTTTGAATCATCATGGCACAAAAGATCAATAAATTATCTACGACAGCATTACATTGCAATTATTAGAAACTTTTCTACCTTACCATGCAGAAGATAGTAATTAAGTTTGACCGACCAGTATTATTTTTTAAATACAGAAATGAGGTCATATATTCAAGCTTTACTTTATATATTAAGCTCAAATAATTATTAAAATGTTAGATAACCCCCTAGTATTTCAAAACATTATTTGAAAAATTCTGAATTCTAAAAGAACTAAAATAGATACATARGTATATATAATAAACGTATGTAATAGGCACAATCGTACTGGTTTCTTTACCGAAGTTTCTATAGTTGCTAGTTCTTCAWTAATGGCGTAGACAGCACTTACGCGGTTATATCCGAGKTAACAACAGCTAATCTTTCTTCTTTTAGCAATTTGGCGTCAATTCGAAATATTGWGTACAGCTAGGTCCTTCCATACGGACGACATCTCTTAATTCGCTGACCTATCACAATGTTGTCGTATATCTCATACAGCTCATCGTTCCATCGACTGCGGTATTTGCCGTTGTCAATGCGCAAAGGACYATATATCTTCCGCAGAACCTTTCCCTCGAAAACTCGTAACGTCGACTTATCACATGTTGTCAACGTTCCTGTTTCAACGAATACATTCTGATAAGAAAATTMCTTGGGTCGTTGGGAACTACAACGCTGATGAGCTTGCAAGGAAAGGCACTCTTAGTGATTCGCAAAGTGTTGTAGATTCGCTATGGTCTTTCGGTTAACTAATGGATGTGTAGTACTTAACTAAACTTGGCGAGTTCTGGTAAATTATTAATAGCAGCACGACCCCAGGTGACAGGTGGTAACTCTCAAGATCCAGAACTTTCCCTAGTAGTGAACATATGTTAGGGTA